CCCCCCCCGCCCCTTCTCCCCCTCCCGTTTTGTTTTCAGATCTGGTCTGGTGAAGCTGGTGTGAAGTTTTCTTGTTTGAGATAATAGACTTCGCGTGGGGGGAGCTCGGCACCCCGATTAAACACGTAGTGATAAAGAGGGGGTCTGATAACCGGGAAAGTAAACAGCGCCCTCCCTGCCCAAGAACTTACGGTGCCCGGCCCACTACTGTTGGTCCTGAAGCTGCTTTGCTCAGTCGACATCCTTCCCTGCTACAGGCTACTCGCAGGCTGGTGACGCGTCCGGTCTGTTGTGTTTCTGTGCTCAATCCACCTGTTGAAAATGGTAGAAACTATTGGAATTTTGGGGAGGTAAGCAAGCTAATTTTAAATTAATGCAGAATACAAAAAGAGAAAAATGATGATTGGGTGAGAGAACTTCCCTCCATCCCTTTTTCCTATTTTGTTTTCTGCTGATAAGAAAGGGAGGAAGTCATTCGCCTACTTCGATCAGACTTTAAAATTGAAGAATAAATAATAACCAATTCTAATTTTCGAGGTTATCTGCAGATTATTTCTTTTAATTTTTTACTGTCATGTATTGTTCTTTTTTCAGTGGTCTCATTGGTCGCAGCTGGGCTATGCTCTTTGCAGGTGCCGGCTATAAAGTGCGCCTTTTTGACATACAGCCTACTCAGGTCCAAGGTGCATTGAAAGACATTGAAACGCAATTAAATGAACTGGAGAAAGCAAACCTGATTCGAGGCTCTAGGACGGCGAAGGAACAAATTTCTCTGATATCAGGTGAAACTCAACTTTCTGCAAAGAGATGTTTGTTCTGCTTGATATGTGACTACTATACATTGCAATCATGTACTTTCCAGGCACTTCTAGCCTTGAAGAATGTGTTGCGGGAGCTTTACTTGTCCAAGAATGTACGCCTGAGTTTCTTGACATTAAACTGAAAGCACTGAAGGAGCTCGATGCAGTGGTGCAAGCACCAACTATAATTTCCAGCTCTACTTCAACCCATTTGCCATCAGTTCTAAGCAAAGATTTAAAAAACAAAGAAAGATTTATTGTCTCTCACCCTGTAAGTAAGGGCAAAGCGCTACATGACCCAAATGACCCATGCATCACAACTTACCAGAGCATGACTAACTTGAGGCAACTTTCAATTTATCAGGTGAATCCTCCATACTATGTTAAGTTAGTTGAGATTGTGCCTGCACCTTACACTGAAAGCTGGGTGCCACCAAAAGTACGTTCTATCATGGAAGAGCTTGGCCAAGTTCCAGTCTCTCTCAAGAAGGAAGTCCCTGGATTTTCTTTAAATCGAATTCAGTAAGTGAGACTTACCTTATGTATTCATGAAGTTTGAAGATAAATTACTTACATTTGCTCACAACATGCAGATATGTCATCCTCAACGAGGCATGGAGACAAGTGGAGGACGGTGTCCTCGACGTGGCTGATGTTGACAAAGTGATGTCTGAGGGCCTAGGTCCCAGATACGCATTTTTGGGAGCTTTGGAGGTGGCACACCTGAATGCTGAAGGTAGGCAATTAGTTCTTTCCTTGAACCTTGAATATTTAACGATGCATGATACTGATGTATCTATTGTTTTCTCTAGGAATGGAAAATTACTGCGAACGTTATGCTCCCACAATTCACTCTGTCAGCCAAACAATTGGGCCTATACCGCATTTGCTGAACGAAACTCATAAGACTGTGCACAAGCAGCTCTGTGACGTCACTCCTTTAGATAAACTTCAGGAACGAAGACAATGGAGAGATGCTTGTCTAACGAAGTTATCAGTACTTAAGCAGCAGATGGAAGCAATCCCCAACAAGGGTGTGGTCAGTAAGAAGTAGTTGCTACTGGATAACACAGGATTATGTTTCCTGAAACCAGTGAAGCCAATCAAGGATATTTTATACCATTTTGAATAAAGTAACTGAACAGTTTCAAGTCTTAATTTAGTCTAATTGAGATGTAAGGTGCTGGGTGTGTGACATGTTTACACAAATTTGCAAGTTGATGGTACTGTTAATTTTTAACAGAATACACTTTTCTGAAGAACTGTCATTGCAGCAAATATTGCTTGTGGTTGCTAGAATGTGTAAATAAACTGGTCACTACTGATTTATACTTAATTTATTGATAAAGTTTATCGCTTTCCACCAACACGAGGAGCACTCTTCTGTTGAACTTTAGCAGTCTTCTGCTTGGGAGGTGCCTTGACCTTGGGTGCAGGTGCCTTCTTAGTTGTGGTCTTGGTAGATTTTTTCTGCTCCTTGGCAGCACTGGAAGGAAAGAAATAGTCAATGAAAATATGGGAATCTGAACAAGCACATTTCTATGCTAGTCTGTGTAAATCTTCAAAGCCCATGGGAAAATAAAAGAGCAAAAGCGCTAAAATAGCAACCTGTTGAAATTCCAGTGCTGCATTAACATTTTTCTACAATTAATTGACCCAAGGCTTAGATGAATGAACATGCATGAATGAACAATGGGGTCATAATTTTGGTTGTGATTGCTAGGTCTCCTACAAAAGCCAATCTCAGATAAGAAGTTGTCGTCACCAGTCTCAGTGACTTTAGCTTGAATCATCATAGGTGGCCAACTTATTTCACACAATATACGAAGTTAATAACTTGGACAATATTTAGGGTAAAAAATAACACATGCAAACAGCAGCAGACAGTAGCCTGATCGGTTGGTAAATAAAAGTTAATGGCACAGTAACGAAGTATGTGCAAGGATGGATGTCTAAACCGAAAAATTAGCCACAGATAGACATGAACATTACACCCCAGATCAACATGGACTCATAATGGGGTAAGAAAACAGCAATGCCAGCTACATAGCAGCCAATACGCACTGAACAGAGAAAGCACCAGTAAGCTGGATCATCACTTACCGAATAGCCTGTTCACGCTGAGCTTTGCGGACTTCAGGTTTCATGTTCCTCTTGGCCAAGATATCAGTTAAGGTGGCACCAACAACAGCCCTCTGGAACTTCTGCGTGCGGCGGGTACGCTTCTTCTGGATATCTTCCTCCTGACCCTTCTTGTGCTTACGTCTGGAAAGGGCAAAACTGTTAGTCACATTCCTCTCAAAACATCACCTAGAGTTTGTGATAAGCAGACTGACCTGTAAAGCACTGTCCATGTGACCTTCCTGGGATTCCTCTTCATAAGATGGGAAGACTCACATTTCTTGTTAAGGAAAGTGAAGGTCTGGAAATAAACAATGCAATTAGCATAGCAGCAACAGGTTTCAAATGAAGTGGGACATAGGAAGTCAAAACCTTGCCAATTCCAGAAGGTTAAACGGATTAGTCTACGTTAATTTAATAATAGTGACTTAACATAACGAAACTGAGCATATTGCGACCGGCTTAACGGTAACATAACCAAAAAGTATCTCCTGACAGTAAACAATTAAGAGTAACTGGAGACGATCAATAGAACTATCAGATAGACATTGTAATCTCATTGTCGACGTAAACAGCATCTTAAGATAGTAGATTGCAAACTAAAAACGAAAAGACATTGAAATCACACGTGGCTCAACACAGAGGTTCGGAATTGGAGCCAATAGGTTAAGCTACTTTGATTAACCAAATAAGACAAAAATATATAAAAAAGTGAACTACAAATTTGGAATATACCCGAACATAATTTACACGCGATCAAAAACGTCTGGTGAGATGTGTGGATAAGAGTACATGAAAATATTGAAACATACCTTGCCGTCCACTTTGACCATGGTCTTGCCATGGCCAGGGTAGATTTTGTACCCACTGTACACGCACAATCCGACCCTGAAATTACGCGGAAAAATCACGTTAATGGCCAGTACAATTAATAACACACACACTAAAAATAATTACACCGATGATAATGGATAAAATTTCAGTGAACGGAGTACTCACTTCATCTTGACGGGTGTGGAAAAGGGAAGTGGATACAACAAAGGAAGACTGGGGAAAGGAAAGAACGCCGCGTGAGAATCGCCTCTGCTGATCCAAGGAGTAGAGAGCGGTGGATTTGGCGTTGTATGACAAATTAAACGGTACACTACAGTATAGGTTATTTCAATTTTTCATATAACGTTGTTTGCTTCCCCCCCCCCTCCCCCGCCTCGCCTCGCAGTGTTTTCACTGTAAACCATGTGGGCAGAATACTGCCTGAAATTTTTAATTTAAGTCTTGAGAATACACGCAGCAATGGTTTTCTGAGCACAGTTTCAGACAAATTAGATTTAGTTCTTCGCTGGCCCCTGCCATCATAATTGTTGTTCCATAGGGTTTTTTGTTACGCCCAAAATTGATGTGTTGTGTCGTGTAGAGGTTATTTATTATTATCATCTGGACTAAGACCTAATTATCATCGTTTGAAGGAGCTTTGTTCGCGTTAACATGGCTGGTGACGATGGTGGTATTCCCGATAAAAAGAAAGCTCATCGCGAGAGACATTCTGGTGGGTATATCATGATTTTGTTATTATCTGGATGTTACTGTCCATCTCTCTCGCTCTTGAATATTTCAGAAGGAGGTAGAATTTTTGTCTTATTCTAATAATTTCTATATTGCACTCTATTGCTGTATGTCTTATTTTTTATTTTTAGGTCGAAAAGCAGACAAGAAAAACAAGTCTAAACCTGAAAATGGGGTGAAGCTACGTGACAGACCTGACAAAGAGCGAAATCCTAAAGCATTTGCTTTAAACTCTGTGATACGGGCTGAAAGACGTTTTCGAAGGTACTTTTAACTTTGGTTGACAATTTTTATTTTTTTAATATTTTTTGAGGTATCATGTATTTCATACTCTTCTGTCTTTTCAGAGGTCAAGATATTCAAACAAAGAAACAACACATACCATTGGTTGATAGAGCTCCTATTGAACCTCCACCAGTTATGATAGCTGTTGTGGGTCCTCCTAAAGTTGGAAAAACTACATTAATCAATTGTTTGATTAAAAATTTTACCCGACAACCATTGTCAGACATAAAGGGACCAGTCACAATTGTTTCAGGTTTTTATATCTTTAAAACTATTTTGACCTCCTTACCTGAATTACCCTGCTACATTCTTGAATCTTTTAAATGTATACATTGCAGGAAAGAAACGCCGTTTGACTATAATGGAATGCAATAATGATATTAACTGCATGATTGACTTAGCCAAAGTTGCTGATTTGGTGCTGTTGCTAGTAGATGCTTCATTTGGATTTGAAATGGAAATATTTGAATTTCTCAATATATGCCAGGTACTATTTTATTTTACAAACTTCTGCTACCAGAGTGTGTTAGTTGAGTGCACTGTTTCACCCTTCTTTTATCTACCTTGTGCTTTAAGGTGCATGGAATGCCTCGGATAATGGGAGTTTTAACACATTTGGACATGATCAAGAAATCTGATAGACTAAAGAGAACTAAAAAGGAATTGAAACATCGGTTTTGGACTGAAGTTTATGCTGGTGCAAAACTATTTTATCTGTCTGGTCAAGTACATGGAGAATATTTGAGAAATGAAGTGAAAAATCTTGGGCGATTTATATCAGTAATGAAATTCAGACCCCTTGTCTGGAGGTCCACTCACCCTTATTTACTAGGTGGGTGTAATTTAATTCCGTAGAAGTTGGAGATGTCTGTAACTGAAGTATCGCTTTTTTCTTTTTCTACAATGAAAATATCTTGCTTACTTATCAGCTGATCGAATGGAAGATGTGACACCTCCAGAGCAAATAAGATTGAATCCTAAAACAGATCGCTCTGTTTGCTTGTATGGGTACATGAGGGGAATCCCACTCAACAAAAAAAGCATGGTTCATGTTCCAGGTATGTTTCTATCACTTGCTCTGACTTGGTCCCGTTCCTCTTCCTTTATCAGATCTCATTTAACCAATGTTTGCCCTTTAGGGTGTGGAGATTTACGTATTTCAGATGTGTCATTTTTACCTGACCCGTGCCCTTTGCCAAGTAAAGAAAAGAAACGAAGTCTAGTAGAAAAAGATAAATTTATCTATGCACCATTCTCTGGGGTGGGAGGTATAGTTTATGATAAGGATGCTGTTTATGTTGATCTTGGTGGCAGTCATTCACATTCTGTACAGGTAAAATACAGAATTGTCTAAGTGGATCTGAAATTTTATTTTACAAATTTCTTGATTGCTAACATTTTTCCTCCTTTTTTTACAGGAAGATAATGATGACAGACAAGCTCAAAGAGAGCTTGTGACCACTCTGCTTCAAACTCAAGAAACCCTTGATGAGAAAATGAAGCATAGTGAGTTGCAACTCTTTACTAATGCCAAACCCATCACAGGAGATGAACTAGAACAGTAAGTAATTTTTCAAAGCAATATATTTTTACTACTGTGTAAACAGTACTTAAATTACCAGAGAGTTCATAAAATTGAAACTTATCCATTTTTTATTTTTTTTTACATTTTGCAGGAAAACTGGAGCAGCCGGACAGAAGTACAAGATTGTGGTAGATGAGAATGGAAGAGAAAGAAGAAAAGTAGTATTTTCAACTGAAATTGATGAAGATAGCACTGATGATGAAAGTGGTACTGATGATGAAGATAACGATGATGAAGATGGAGAGGAGGTTGAAAGTGGTCTTGAAGAGCAGGAGGAGGAGGATGAGGAAGATGCTGAAAGTGATAGTTCAGGTGAAAATGACAGTGAGTGTGAGGCAAAACCTAATAGTGTCAGAAATCAGATTCAAACACTTAAAGAAGGAAAAAAGAAATCAAAGAAAAAACCTGATCTTGAAAATGATGAAGATTCAGACCATGAGTCTGATGAAGATCCTAGCAACAAACAGAAGATGCAAAAAGCTAAATTGTCACAGCAAAAAGTTGATGGTCAGATCAAGAAAAGGAAAGCTTTGAATGAGAAAAAAGCTGTAATTGATGTTCCAAAGAAGAAAATGAAGATATCTGAAGACATTGAGAATAGTGATAATGAGATAGAAATTGGTGATGGAAAGAAGATTCAGTCTTTGAAAGAAACTGACATACAATATAACAAACTAAGTATAGATAAGGGATCAGAAATCAGGAGTAAAATAGCTGATGCTCTTTCAATGCTTGAAAAGGGTAGCAAAGAAAAGGCAGACGCTGTTTTCTCTGATGGAGAAGACGATTGGTCTTCTGATGATGCCAGTAGTGATGCCCCTGAAAAGGGCTCTGAAAAACCAAATAGCATGAGTTCCGAGTCCTCAGCGAGTAGTGGTGATGATAGTAGTGGAGATGAGAGCCAATCATCACCCAAGGCTACAGGTTCATCTCTAATTTCTGAGGGCAACAACTCAGAAGCACTGGCTTGGGAAGATTCCATAAGATGGAAGTCTAATCTCCAGCAAAAGGCAGCTGATGCATTTATAGATAGACAAGCAAGCACTCAAAATCTTTGGAAATTGGTGTATGGTAGGTTATGACATCAAATAATTTTATCAATCTACTTTTATTTTTTCTCTGGTTTTGAAAACTGAAACACGGGTAATTTTACAGGAAAAATAAATGAAGCACAGAAAAAAGAAGATGCAGAGTCAGATGAAGAAGTTGGTGGGCTGTTTCGTGTTGTTAGTAGAAAGCAGCATCAACGGCAAGAGGCTAAAAGTATATGTAATGCTGAAGATTGCTCTCGCTTCCGTCTTAATCTAGTACGAGATTGGACTCAATCAGAGGTATACCTATCTACATGTATCCATTCTATTTATATTTTCTTCTGATGTCAGAATCTGGATTAAACTGAAACACTTTCTTTTAGGTCCGTGATCTGATTCGTGATTGCTTTGTCACCGGAAAATGGAAAGAATCAGAGGATGCTGAAGAACTTTTACGTCTTGATGATGCTAGTGATGGAGATGAAGAATTATTCGGTGATTTTGAGGATTTAGAAACTGGACAAAAGTTCACTGCTCCTCAAAATGAAAATGGTAGTAGCACTGAAAATGCTGATGGTATGTATCTCTATGCCATGGGTCTTTTTCTAATTTCACAAATGGTGAGTCAATTTGCTAGCTTTTCAAAAATTAATCTAATTTTTATTCTAGATACTGTGAAATCTAAACCTCTCACAAAGAAGGAAATCATAGAAAAGAAAAAGAAATTAAAAGAGAAATTTGATGCGGAATATGATGATCAGGATGGAGGAAAATCATTTTATGATGAACTGAAAGCTGAAGTAAACCAACAAGCCCAGGTAATTACTGATTTCATGGTATGTTTGTAACCAAGTATTTCTATAACAAATGAAAATAATGTTTAATTTTCTTATAGTTAAATAAATCAGAATTCGAGGGCATGGATGATGACCTCAGAGTGCAGCTGGAAGGTTATAGAGCAGGAATGTATGTCAGGATAGAATTGGCTCAAGTACCATGTGAACTAATCCAGCACTTTGACCCAACATATCCACTTGTTATTGGAGGCCTTTTGACAGGAGAAGAAAATATAGGATATGTACAGGTAGAATTTCCTTTTAGAAATAAATTGCATTCAAACTATTTTTGAAGAGCTTGATCATTTTTTTCACATTTTTTTATGGTTTTGAAATTCTAGGTACGTATGAAGAAACATAGGTGGCATAAGCGAATCCTCAAGACACGGGACCCTCTGATCATATCCTTGGGATGGAGGCGCTTCCAGAGCTTGCCCATCTATGCAAAACTTGAAGACAACATGCGTCACCGTATGCTTAAGTACACCCCAGAGCATGTTGCCTGCATGGGACACTTTTGGGGCCCCATTACTCCTCAAAGCACTGGTTTTCTGGCTGTTCAAGATGTTGCTTCTAGATCGGTATGTACCCATTATTATAATGAATAAGGTTTATCATTGATTTACTTTCATTAATTTCATTAATTTTTGTAGGCTGAGTTCAGAATTGCAGCTACAGGAGTAGTAGTAGAACAGGACAAATCAACTCAGATAACCAAAAAGTTAAAACTTACTGGTGTACCCCTGAAGGTATACAAGAAGACTGCTTTTATTAAAGATATGTTCACTTCATCTCTTGAAGTTGCTCGATTTGAAGGTGCGAAAATTAAGACGGTATCAGGCATCCGTGGTCAAATTAAGAAAGCTTGTTCTAAACCAGAAGGTGTTTTTAGGGCTACATTTGAGGACAAGATCCAACTAAGTGGTGAGTTGTAATTTCTAGTTCCTGTGTATCATCATTCATCTCCCACTTCAAACCTGTATATTCTACAACTATTCACGGTCTATTACAGATATTGTGTTCTGTAGAACATGGTACAAAGTGGATGTGCCACAGCTGTATAACCCTGTTACTTCGTTATTATTACCATCTGAGCAGAAGGATGCCTGGAGAGGTATGAAGACTACAGGACAGCTTAAAAGAGAACGTGGCATTCAAGGGCAAACTCAAAAAGACAGCTTATACACAGTAAGTAATGTTATATTCGGTTTGAATAAACAAGTTAAATAATGATTTTTGTGCTCAAAACAAAAATTTAAATTAATGTGTATTTTTATTGATTCAGCCAATTGCTCGAGAGCCAAAAGTCTTCCGCCCCCTTGTGATACCGCGGGCTTTACAAAAAGATCTACCTTATCGTGACCGACCTAAAAATAAGAGTGGACTCAAGCCCAGCATTGATGATCAAAGAGTTGCAGTAGTGAGAGAGGCTCATGAACAGAAGGTAAGAAAACTGTGCTAGGTATCAGCAAGATCAGAATTCTACTACTTTTATGGAATGAAGTTGATGTTTGACCATTTCACTTTTCTTGTTTAAGGTTGACAAGCTTATGACAATGCTCAAAACCAATTATTCCCACAAACAAGAGCTACTCAAAAAGGCAACACATGAGAGAATAGAAAATCTCAAAAAGGAAAAGGAAATGGAAGAATCAAGAAAAATGAGAAGAACTAAAGAACTAAGACGTGAAGTTTTCAAGAAACTTACAGAAATGAAAAAGGTTGATGAAAGGAGAGCAGCCAAAGGAGGGAAAAGATAAATTAGATAATTATCATAGAATTATATTTTTTGT